CTAGACCCGTCTACCCTTCCTGCAGTCTCCCTTAATCCTACTGGAGGTGTACTCATTCAAAATAAATATTGACTCCCAGTTTATACCTTAACCTTCATGGACTGCGTGCTCCTGACGCCAGATCCCAAATCCTAGTACATCACTTTAATCCCAAAATATCTTATATGTTTTGATTTGTAGTTTAACATGAAATAATATGACTTGATCAAAAAAATATAATTTGGAAGAATTTATTGATCAAGTAATATGTGGTGGTTGAATATTGGAATCAATAAATGTTTTGGATTATCAAATATTGATATCCATGAAATAAATCTTATTCAACACACTTTTACACGTTCATATGATAGGATATATAGATGGGAAAATGTTTGAAATGAAAAGGAATTGAAAAACCAAGTATTTGAAGCAAAACATAATCACGTTGACTCGTCACTCGATCACCAGACATCTGAGAAGTCATCAATATTTTTATCGTAATTTTTTCTCCCGGTATCTGATTAAGGTGATTCAAAATATGTTGAAATGTTAATTCAAAAGACTACAATTTTTCTAGTAGCCTTATCCAAATTCCAATTGTTTTTGTGTGAAAAATGCGTTGCAAGTTGCGATTCAAAATTTGGAGCATAACTTGTGCGACTCTTTGACACTCTTTGGACTTCTAAATGCATTACATGACCACATGTGATCTTCTTGGACTCCTTCAAGGACTATACTACCAACCCAACTCATTTGACTTTAATTATGATTCAATAACTCATATTTTGAATTTGATTACAACTCGATAAACTTATAATACAATTCAACTAGTACTTGATTTTGATAAAAATTGCTAATTACAAATTTAAAAATTACTAATTATAATTTGGACTTAATAATCTTTCCATTTGACATTTCGTGACAAAATCATATTTATTTTAAAGTCAATAAGTCCAAAACTACCTAAAAATAAAATTTCACAATTTTTCTTCAATACGTGGTCAACTTATTTCCCGAAACACATAGAAAACCATAATACCGCAGAAAAGCAAGAGGAAACTAGCAAAATCAAAATCATATAATTAAATTATATAAACACGTGTGACGTGTAACACCAAAATATGTAATACCATGTAAATTATAAACTTAAAAATAAATCATAAAATTTTATATCAATATAGACAAAACACAAAACTATATCAGTAATAAAATTTTAACAAATATATCAAATGACTCCCCTTATGTCATTTATTAATTTAAAATTTTAAAATTCTCCCCCTAACTTATATAATCAACTATCTAAAATAAATACACATATCTCCCTTTTTTTGTCACCAATAATAAAAATAGAAAAGACAAATAATAATCATGTTAAACATAGAGAGGAATGACTAAAAAAATATGCACATGTATAATGATGTAAAAATTATGCCAAAACATATGATGGGAGAATAAAAAAAATTTAATTTCGAGACCAACTGTTTTTTTGAATTTTTCATAGACTTTCAACTTTATCATCACAAATAATTATTTGCTTACTTATACATGCATAATTCAACAAAAAGTAAACTTCTCCTACATAACTTATTTTAAACCTTGATGAAGTAAATTATATATATCATTCACGAGTGAAACGTGCATTAAACTCATGTAAGCACGTCACAAGACTTTAAATTAATGAGAAATGACATGTAAAAATCAATGGTGAATAAATATATTTTTCAAAGTATGAAGTCAAATCCAGTTGTTACTAGGACCTTTATAAATTAAAGAGCTCGTATTTAATTGTATAAATTTTTTTTCTTTCTCCCCATCTCTGTGAACACATATATGTATATTTTTCTTTTATTTTTCAAATTTTAAGTGCAAACTCTTTTTCATTAAACTTTCTACATGGCCTCTGTAATGACCTTTAGGCGGATGAATCCAAAGTTAGATGACTTATAAGACATCAGGTATTAAGATACCCTACAGTTTTAATCACTCAAGTTATATAGGTTACGAAGAAAAGTATAAGATTGTCGCACAAAATTTATGTAATTCAAAAAAAAATTTCTTTGAAACTAAATATTAATCTTTATTTTAAGGGGAATATACAAAATGTTAGGTCAACTAGTTTAAAAGGTCATTCCATATTTAAAGTTAATTCACCACACAGATGACAGTCATCATAAATCTCAAATATGCGATCAAAACCCACTCACAAAACTTTAATGCGTACAGTGCATAAGATACATGTAATAACCTATACAAAGTAATCCAAATAAGTTCTAAACAAATTAATGAAAATTTAATTTACCAATTATGAACCTAATTAGTACTTGATAGCAAAATAACATGTCTAAAAAATATAGAAAATCTTTTTTTTCCCTTTTATTTTTATTTTTATTTTCAAGATAATAAATAAAATGTAAAACAAACAAGAAAATATTTTAGAGTGCATCATGAATATGTAGATACTATAAATAATGCAGATGCATGCACGTAACTACCAACTCAATGAGACACAGAAGCGCTCTTACCATGAAGAGCAACAAGAGCAATACCGCGATGTAAATTATCGCTTTGACACGTGAGTTCACATTTTTTGACCCAAATCTTCATAGAAAATGATGTAATCTTAGTAGATTGAGTCATTAACTCAATCAAGTGACTCACTTGATTAGTCAAGAATCTAACATGACTAGTTAGATCTTGTTTATTTTTTCTAATTAGGGGCTTACGATATTTAGGCCTAATGTGACTTAAAACATCACAATCATGACATGTGGGAATGAATTTAAGAACAATCCCAAATTTCAAATTTTGAAACTTAGGTGGAAGAAACCTATGTTGTACTGATGATTTCGATCCTCGGACACCTATATTATTGGTCTTGTTCCTATTCAAGAGCTTGCGACACTCAAGTCTTATGTGTCCAACCTTACTACAATGGTGACACGTTGGGATGAACCTGAGAGTAACTATAGGTCTCAAGTTTTGAACCCTAGACATCGAGGTAGATATAAACTTATTTTTCGAAGAAGCGGTAAGGAAATTTGTTTCATTAAAGCGGTATCGAAATTTGTTTCATTAAAGCCTAATCTCTCCCATCCGCTAAAAAAAATTGGAGTTGGGTATTTGACTTTTCCAGATCACTCGTAAGAGATTTAACCTTAACATCTAGTGACTTTTTCTCAACTCTTAACTCATTCAAACTTTTAATGGATTCCTTAAGTTTGGCTACAATACTCTCACTTTCTAATTCAAAATTATTCTATTTTTAAAGGCAAAGCGATTCGCTTTTCTCAACTTAGGGCACTTTTCAAACAATTGGTCATAAGCCTCCCGAATTTCCATATCATACTTAGATCTAGAATCAGAAATTGATTGACTCATCTAGACAAAATTTTGAGTAAATGATCACTAATAAGCTCTGGCACCACTTGAAAGTTTTAAATTATTTAGATCCACGTGTAGAATTACACAATTAAAAATAACAAGACTTTTTAATTGTTTCCAGAAGATTAGATCAAACAAGTCAATTTATTCTAAATTTGAATACTACAATGAATAATTAAAGCAACAAAGAACATCAAAGATGCTCACGGAGAAACCACAACTTGGTAAAAATTTTGGGCACTTTTCCAGTCAGTAATCCACTATAAATTGAAACAAAATTACAGTACGATCTAAACTCGTTTACCCCGTAAAACTTCTGACTTCAATTCCCGCAGTCTCCATTGATCCTACTGGAGGTGCGCTCCTTCAAAACAAATCCCGACTCATGGTTTATACTTTAACCCTCCTGGACCGCATGCTCCTGAAGTTAGATCCCAACTCCTGGTATCTCACCTTAGTCCTCTTGAATTTTTGCTTCTACAAAACTCTCGATCCTCGGAATCAATTTATCTCCAGTGGATTAGGTGACTTGGTGTTTGATCAAAAGATATTATGTATTTTGATTTGTGATTTAATATGAAACAATATGACTTGATCAACAAAATATAATTTGAAAAAATTTATTGATCAAATAATATGTGGTGGTTGAATATTAGAATCGATGAATGTTTTGGATCATCAAAGAATTGATCTCTATGGAATAAATCTGATTCAACATACTTTTAGACATTCATAGAATATGATATACATAGAGAAAAGTGTTTGAGATAAAACGAGATTGAAAAATCAAGTGTTTGAAACAAAACAAAATCATGTCGACTTGTCGCTCGAGCACCAAGCGAGCGACATCTGAGCAGTTATCAGTATTTTTATCATAACTTTCTATTCAGGTAACCGATTGAAGTGATTCAAAATACGTTGGAAAGCTAACTCAAAGAGATATGATTCTTCTAGAGGTAGCCTTATCCAAATTCCAAATTTTTCTATGTGAAACATGCGTTGCAAGTTGCGACTGAGATTTTAGAGCATAACGTTTTGGGCTCTTTGACACTCTTTTGGACTTCTAAATGCATTCCAATGATCATACGTGATTCTTCTTGGACTACTTCAAGGACTATACTACTAATCAAACTCTTTTGATTTTAATTAGGATTTAATAACTCATATTTTGACTTTGATTACAATTTAATAAACTCCTAATAGAATTCAACTAGTACTTGATTTTGACTAAGAAATTTGCCAATTACAAATTTAAAAATTGCCAATTATAATTTGGACTTAACAAGATTTACCAAGTCAAGATTCATTGAGTATAAATTAATGTGTATGTTAATTAATTGAGAATTAATAATACTGAATTCATACATAACGAGAATTTTAATATTTATTATTATTATATATTGAAAAAGAAAAATAATATTTTATTGAAATAATTAAATTGTAGTAGAGTTAAAATCGACAAAAATTGGTTATCAGTAATATTTATATTATAGACGAATAGTGATATTTTGAGGTAGTATCGGAATGAAGAAAAAAAATACTTTGGATGGATAATTGCCGTTTTGCATAGTTCTGCGCCACTCGGTTATTCCCTCTCCGACAGAAAAACAAAATATCCATTTCTCTTAGAGAGAGCTGCAATGGCAGCATTTTCACCGTGCAGAGATATTAACAGCACTATTTTATGCAAAAGTGGAGCGATTTCTTTGGTGGGCTCTTCGGCTTTTCCTCTGCAGGAACCAAGACCAACGCCTGCTAATTGTTTGCTAAAAGGTCAGTTAGTTGTTTTCTTGATAACACTCTTGATTTAGTTGTAAAAGTGTTTGATTAAACTATTGCAATTCGAACTTGATTGTGAGTCCATTGGAATATTTAAGAACTATGGTTAGAAATGATAACCACCGCAATGTCTCAACAGATTGTTTGTCTTGAACAAACAATTAATTAGTTCCTTGACGATCATCATTTTTATGGCTCGAGTTGAATGGAAAAAGTTCTAAAACGAATTCAATGTATCAAGGTAACAGTGATAACTGTAAGAAGGAGAAAAAAGTTGTCTGGTTCACTCTTTGATAATTTGTGAATGTGACTCCAAACACACATGAGCCACAGAACTATGTATCTATCTTTTCCTTCATAGTGCCCTCTAATCCTTTAATTTGATTGAGGTCAATTCTACACTAAATTGAAGTTGACTGTCAAGTAATTTGAAAATTCGAGGAACTTCTTTTAATGAGTATAGGATTGTTAAAATACAAAATATCTACAAGATGAATCATCAGTGTAACAGAAATAAGGATGTTGAGATAGATGTTTGACCCCACTAGAATGAATAAGATAAAAAATGGATACAAGTCGATAAATGGAGGTGACCGATTGACGGTAAATTATAGGAATGACAGATTTAGGTGGTTGGGATATGTGTTGCGTAAACCTAAAGAAGTTCATGTTCACATCAATTATGCGATCTATAGATATGATAGAAGAGGGAGAGGTAAGAGGTAGACCAAAATAAGGGTAATTAGCACATAACGTCATTGTCTTTCATTATGATTGTGAAAAACATCCGTACCTTTCATTTTTTCGCATTTTGTACCCTTATTTCCACATTTCATTGCGCAAAAAGAAAAAGAAAGAACTAATTGCAATCATAGTCTCAAATTTTTTTTAAAAAAAATTCAAATAAGTCCCAAATAAATTATTAAAAGGGTAATTAACACATAATATCCATACATTTCACTATTATTTTGAAAAACGTTCGTACATTTCATTTTTTGGCATTTTCACCCTATTACATTTTTGATTGCGTAAATCATCATTTCTATCCATTTTAATCTAATTTCTCAATAACAAGCTGTGAAACGACGAACACATCATTCTATTTAAATAAAAAAATTAAAGATTTTTTTTTAATTTCTAATTTTTTAATAATTTATTTGGGACTTGTTTGCACTTTTTAATTTTTTCATAATTTATTTAGGATTCATTTGCACTTTTTTTTTTTAGAAAAAATAATTTTTAAAATTTTTTAATAATTTATTTAGGACTCGTTTGAACTTTTTTTTAGAAAAAAATTAGGACTGTGGTTGCAATTAGTTCTTAATTTTTTTATTTAAATATGAGGGTATATTCGTCATTTCACAACTTTTTATTGAGAAATCGGATAACAAATTATAGAAAGTATGGTTTGCACAATCAAATGTGTAATTAAAGGTGAAAACGCCAAACAAAAAAAGGTAGTGACGTTTTTCATAATAATAATGAAAGACACGGACATTATGTGACAATTACCCTTTTAATAATTTATTTGAGATTCGTTTGCACTTTTATTAAAAATCCGGGACTATGATTCTAATTAGTTTTTCTTTTTCTATTTGTTATTTCATAGTTTTTTAATTGAGAAAGTGGATAAAAATGACCTTTTGCGCAATGAAAAGTGAAAGTAAGTATGAAAATGTCAAAAAATGAAAAGGGCGTTTTTCACAATATTGTAAAAGGTAAGGACGTTATGTGTTAATTATCCCCAAAATAAATATACTGTTGTAGTTGCAAAAGATCTAGTTGCAGATCTTCCAATGGACTATGATGCTCGAACTCGGGTACGGATACATATTTAAATGTCGAATCTTTTATTTTCTAAGACATAAGATACATGGACATGGCTCAAAAAAGTCCAAATTACGGGACGTGGGTACACCTTTCAAACTTTTTTTTTTTTACTAATCAAGATGTCATTTTGAATAAACCAAAATCAATTATTCATAAAGAAGGAAATATGTATTGAATAAGGGGTTAAGACGAATAAAATAGAATTTTGGGGTTTAATTTTTAATTATGAGAATTACTAAATGTTATATAAAATAGAAAATGAAGGATTTGATTGCAATTTGGATTTAATGGAGTACTAGTAGCACCATATGGAATCCATTTTCATTTTATACAAACAAAACTTTAAACCATCGATACATAGATCGAAAGAAGAGAAAAAAGAAGAAAATGGAAAGAAAAAAAAGAAGAAGAAATAGGGAAAACTTAGCACCATCGCCTTTCTCCATCATGTCGATGATGACGCTAGGTTTATAGAGAGCAAAAAGGGGAAAAAGGAAAAGGGAAAGAAAAGGAAAAGGAAAAAAAGGAAAGAAGAAAAAGAAGAAGAAGCAAAAACGATGAAGTGTCTGATTGAAATTTGGAGGAACCGACACATATCTCATACCCATACTCATGTCGTGTTGTGTCCGACACGGGGTACTCTGACTATTTCAAAGAGTCCGAGCATCAAAGTCAGCGGATATAGTGGTGAACAGAAAGGAATGCAAAAAATGAATTCGTATAGTCAGTCCCATATTTAGTGAAGATGAGGCTTAGTTGATCGTTGTGTAGATAGACATATATCTATCCATGATTGTAATTACTCTGATTATCATTCATGTCTTCTCTCATGCATCCATCTATTTTTCATTAGTGAATTATATATAGTTTGTTTTCTCCCTTGAGAAGCCAATATTACTTGTTGAAGATGGTTCACATGCACATTCTTGGGTATTTAGGTGCAGTGCAACATAAGGTTTATTGGCTTTGGGATTACATGGTGGATCTAATATATTTGAGATAGACCGCCAAATAGAGCCAGACTGCTCTCAAATATGCTGCCACCCTCAAAAGCTTTCTTCCCTTTTTCAGTTAATCTTAATTCTTTAGTTAACCACAAAATTACTACCCATATATACATAAACAGGTACTTCTGAATAATCAAAATCCATCATGACAACTCAGAATTATTTAACTCTTTAACTCAAGGAACTAAGAGTAGGAATTCTCTGTGTCTTCTAGACTTCTATCTTGACTTATCTGTTCTTGTCTTTTTCTCAAGAACAGTTCCTTTCTTCTTCACTCTAAGTTCCGTTTCTTAAAAGGATTAAGACTCCTTGTATTTATAGTTCTTAGGTTAGAACCAAATACCTTAGTTTCTACCTCTCTGGACCCTCTTGTTTATTTGTAATTAGTATTATTAGCTTTTATAAGAAAACAGGCATCAAATTCTAACCCTTGAAAGAAGTTTAGTCCTCTAAATTTTCCGTGCCTGAATCCTCAAAGAACGAGTGGTATTAATATTTTATCGTCCCTTCAGGTTCCAACATGGCATCTCTTGGAATGATTAATTCACCATACTTGTGAGTTGTGACGTAGGAAATCACAGGATGTTGTGGAACTTGCTCTTTTGTATCCACAATTTTAACTGGGAACTCTTCGTAAGTCAAATTATTTTTCAATTTCTAGGGCTTATACTCTATAACATGATTCAGATCAGAAATGTATTTACTAGATTGAAGCGATTTACTGGTTCTCAACGATTCTTCTTCTAGCTTGGTCGAGGTCTGCATTCAATCCTTGAAGAAAGTCAAATACCTTGTCCTTCTCCTACACTTTTCTGAGTTTCATGTTGTCCTCAACATACTTCGAGTCAGTGTGCTAGTCGATAACCATTTCTTGTCAAAATCAATTTATTTCATTTAGTAGGCACTACCACAAAAGGTGCTTTGTTTAGTATTTCTTGAGTTGCTCTTTGGCTCATGCAGTTGTAGATCATTTTCCTTGTTTGAGTAGGTTAGCATTCAAATATCCGAGATTTCCTTGGCCTTGGAGAAGAACAAATATCCTTAAATGACATCTGGTTTCATCAAGTTGACCATTAAAGAAATCACTATGGAGTTTTATGCATTCAATATTGAAGCTTAGATCTCCAGATCTTGGCATAGGTCTCGAACTATTCAGTAGATATTTCCTTTGCCTTTGACAAAAACTATCACAGATTGGGGCCATGGAAGAAAAATCATCCCATTTTATTTGTGTGTGTTGATCTGGAGACAATAATAATAATAATTTGGAATAACTTATTTCTCAATGGTTATATCTATTCTTTTGGATTTGATTTCCAACATCATAGATTTTGGAAATAATACCATAAATGAAGGATGGTTAATAAGAACAAACGAAAAGAGATGTATGCGGGAATCTCCAAGTTGCAACGTGAAAATCTTCAAAACCATAAGAAAGGAATAGAAGAATAAGAAGGAATGAAGGATACAATAGATTCTCGAACGACCCCGAGAACCTTGAACAATCTCGAACAATGAAGAACCTGGCTTCAAGGTGAGTGTTTACACTTTCCTTGAGACATTATTTGCCCCACCAATCCAGTGATGCACTCAGGACACAAATACGCCTTCAGGATATAATGAAGTCATAATGTTGTTTGTGTTGTGCATTCACAAAGACAACACAAACACTAAGGATTAACGATATCTATACTCGAGGTCTACACTTTGTCTCTCGAAAATTACGAAGTATATACAAGTTTTTGTAAGAAAAAGATGCAAGTGATTGATTTATAATTCTGGAAAATCAATGGGGAATAAAGACATTATACTTGCATAATCTCAACATGAACAATATTAGTAATATGCAGATTCGTTAACATGTTTTATCAATGAAAAAATGTGGGTATGTCTTAGGCTCTTGTTCATAAGTCAAGGTAGCGTTTTTGTTCATGTATGCATTTTCTAATGTTATATGCTGGGATATATATATATATATATATATATATATAGGCAGTGTCTTTCTTGCTTTTCTCTGCCTCCTTCAGTCCAAATAATGGTTCTTTTGTTTCAATTCTAATCACAGAAAGGGTCATTTCGCAAAGATTTTTCTCAAGAGCAGCATCCTTTTTGTCAATGAAAGCCTCTTGTAGATTATTATTTAAGAAAGTACCTTCTACAATTCCCAGATGCAGTGACCCCTCTAACTCGAGTGTTGGTAAAGAAGAAATCTCAGACCAGGAGAAGGCATGTCCACACAACTACTGCTGAAAGATATACCTTTAGTTAATCTTCTGTCTCGGGAATATGAAGTCTAATTATATTGTTGAAAATAAAAAAAGAGTTTTAATTTGATATATTATTTCTTAATTGCCCATTATACTTGTCACACAAAAGCGTTTTCTCCCTCCATTACCTGCGGCACCAAGACTAAAGGTCTTTCCTCTCAAATTTTAGGATATAATGACTAAACATTGATGAAATTGGCAATTCAATGAAGTGTAGTAAAAAATCTTTATGCAATGATAACTCGTAATAGCCCTAATGTTGTCTAATTGGATCATTGTCTGAATTTGCAATGATCCAGCTACGCAAACATTATCATGGGTTTTAGTTTTGTGATTCTAACATTAATTAAGTCATATTTTGCATTTTTCCCCTGTTGTAGACACCTTTTGGATACACAAGAAAGGATGTTTTACTGATTGGACTTGGAGTTACTCTTGCTGGCATTGGCCTGAAAAGTGGATTGGAGGTATATCTTGTAAAGATTTTCACTTGTATGATTTTTCACCCAAAGATTCTTCCTTTTCTTCTGGATTCCACATGGTCACTATTACCTTTTGACATGTACACATGCAAACAATATGATTGATGAAGCATAAATTGTGCGCATCTGTCCAATTTGCATGCTTGAGGATTGCTCCACCCGATAGATACTTCCGCTGAATATTATCATCACATGATGAAACTGATTCGTGTTCTGTATCTCATGTAGTTCATTGGAGTTGATCCGTTACAAGCTGGGAATGTTGTTCAGTTAGTCCTGGTATTGGGGCTTACAGTCGGATGGATTTCTACTTACATATTCCGAGTTTCAAACAAGGAAATGACATATGCTCAACAGTTGCGCGATTATGAAGACAAAGTCATGCAGGTTATACCGTGACCAAAAACTGTAAAAATCTGGAAACTTTTTTTTCTCATTTGCTTGTGGTATAATTTGCTTTCTAAATTCTAGAAAGTTCATAGGCTCATTGCAGAAGCAACAAACTATTGGGTGTTAGAAAGTGGAATTCTTAGCAATTTCTTTACAGGAGAATAAGAATTAGATTGCCTACCTAACTGATTGCGAGTAATCAAGGGGAAAAGATGTCTTCTTATTTTTTTGGACTTATTCACATAGTCTATTAGAGCTTTTGTGTCGTGTCGTCTAATTTGATGTTATATTGCATCATTTGATATGTGCTAGTTCAGAAAAGCAAAAAGGAAAATCATATAATCATTCTTTCACGTGTACTATTATCTTCAATTTAGGCTGTATTTGTTCTAGTATACTTAGCTTCTGTAATTACATGTCTTCTTTTCAAGTTGTCGTGCATTCCATGGATTCAGGCTCCGAATTTAAATTTGTACGATATTTTCAATTCCAAGATTTGTCGTCTTTACACTTGTCGAAACTAAGTCTGAAACAGATATTTTTTATCTTCACAGAAAAGATTAGAGAGCTTGACAGAAGCAGAGTTAGTAGCATTGCTTGAACAGGTTGAGGAAGAGAAGATACGCGTGCCTGGTGGTGAGCAACAAGTCAAATAAAGGTGGTACTGCAGTTGTTGATGCTTTGCAAAATAGACGAGAAAAATTGAGTCGAAAACTGTTGATGTATAATTAGTTTTGTAAAAAGTCACCATGATGCTAGAGAATCTGCTAGAGACTATATAAATGGTAAAATTGCAGCATTGGTCCTCAATGTATTGTTCTAGTGGCAAGTTGGTTCCCAACCTTTAAATAGTAACAAGTTGATTTTCAATCTTTCATTTTAGTAGCACAATTAGTCCTGAAATTTTCTACGTCTCTCCACTTAACCATAATGTGATCTTCAAGTAAAAATGTAGAACTTTATATTTGTTGGCAACAAATCCAATTCAAGTTGTCAAGTCAAATCTAGTTTTCCGAGTTGGATATTTGAGAGTCACATGATGATTTACTATAATAAGGGTTGATTGTGCAATTATTGTAAACCTCAACTCAAGTTTTCTGGGTTGGGTATTGGAAATGCATGCACTTTTCTTAGAAAAAGCAAAAGCCCTTCCTCAAGTAGGGACGAGTTCCCTTTTCGAATTCACTCCGACACTTAATTCTTTTTATTTGTTTTACATGTAAACGGTATTTTAAAATTTTAAAATGTAAAACTGGAAAATGGGGCACGAAATGGAGCAAGAATGGCTGCTCCATTCCCATCACATTCTGCTAACATCCCTACGTCAAGGCCAATTTTACATAGAGGCGAGTGAGGCCCACAACTCAGACCCAACATTGGAGGGGCCCTTAGATTTTAGTGGAAATTACAGTCAACCCTATGTTTCAAGATCCAATTTCACAAATAAGATTTAATGTTTAGTTATTCAAAAATCAGATATTTTATTTTAATTAAAATTTTAATAAAATAAATATTTTT